TCGGTGACCACCGCAATGCTCCAGTTGCGCCGCACACTTGCGCCGCAGGTAGGAAACAAAACCGAAGTTACCAAACCCCCTCGTAGACTTTCCGGGCCTTCAGGATCGTTGGCGAGGGGGATAAAAAATCAGGCAACATTTTTTTGGGGCGGCACACAGGGCGTGAACAAACGCCCTGGACCACCCAAAAAAAATTTGCCCGTTGGGCTGTGGCCCACACATCCGGACCGAGATCAGGACCTGGACCCCGGACCCCGGACCACGGACGGTCCGGATCCCTGTCCGGTGGTCCGGATTGTAGCCTTGATTTTAACGGATGTCCCGAAGGACAATTTTTGTTTTTTTGTTTACCCTCCAATCCTTTTTCTTGGGGTTTCCTTTTTGAGTGCTGATTCTTGAAAAGCATCCGACAGCTCAACTGTAGTATGCTGTAGAACGGATTATTAACATTATCTATATGGCGGAAGGTGCAGCACTGAACAGGATTCATCTTGACCTCGTTTTCCCTCCCCTTACAATGCCCCCCCGACAATCCTACAGTATGTGTAGTAGTTGTGTGCAATGTAAACTTAGCACAACGTAGTGTCCACAGAAGTGCAAGGTGGAAACTCGAAGGTCGTTTTCTCTGATAATAGATGACCTACTTCTACGACAATAAAATTTACTGCTCCAGTCCAATCTACAGTCAAATGCATAGTCTTCCCCTTGAACCAACAGCACACCCGAGCCTGGCGGACTGGCTCCAGTTCAATCTACAGTCAAATGCATAGTCCTCCCCTTAAACCAACAGTACACCCCGGCCTGGCAGACTGGCACTGTGTGCCATGCTTTTTGCCAAACCGGCAGCGGTGCAATTCTTTTCTTTTTTGGCTAGCCATTGTCGTCCCGTAGCTCAGAGCCTCCGAGATTTTACAAGTGAGCCATGGAACTTTTGAAGTTGCCTGGGGCCGTCTACTGGCGGTTTAAAGCACAAGTACGCGGCCCCAGCCTAGATGTCCGAAACTTGTCGCGACAAGAGAAACAAGGCCGAAACGTCAAACGCTGGGCCCGCCATTGATAAACTGGATCGGCAGCAGCGTTTTCGTTTCGCGCCTCCAGGATTTGAGGTGTCAGGCCCGCGCCTCAGGTGCCCATGTACTGGTGCTGTAAGCGAATCCCGTCTGATTGTGAAGATCCTCCACGTGCTATGTGGCCAGTTGATGGATGGATTGATGGGCCCTTAAGCATAACGAGTGCTATGACTGGCCAGTAGCAGTCCAGTCAGTTATGGAATTTGTTCTATAGTGGGCCTGTCATAACCACTCCAGAGTGAACCCTCTTCATCAAAAGACCAGATGCCCCGTGACCATGGAACCCTCCTGACCGTACCTTAAGTCGACACTCTGATTTAGCACCACGCTGGTTACTACGAGGCCTTTCCTTTGTTTGTTGGTGTATTGGATTGGTGATCGGGTGGAGAAGATTTTTTGCCCTGTCTGCAGGGGTTGGCCCACCAATCATGCCTTGGAAAGTGGAACATTGAATACGTTTCCTGTTTAATTTGGGGGAGTCAAACATCTTGCAGTTTGACATTAAGTTGTGTTGTTTTTTATTTTATACTAATTTTTGGTTTATTTAGAATTTTACGTTTGATTGCTGATGAGCTGTTTGCCTATCCGATTGGTTTTGCAGCAAGCTGCCCAGCTGGCTGGTCACTCTACTTCCCCGAAAGGCGCTGATGCTGGAGGAGGAGGCATGGAATGCTTATCCCCATTGTATCACAGGTATGGCGCTGGTGCCTTTCCCTTATGCCTGCATTTGTCTGCCACAAGGTTCGCAGATGACAGAGCAACATTTCAATCGATGGACAGTGGACACGTTTGCCTTCCTCTCTTTGGCTTCTTTTTTTTTCCTGAAGGGGTAGCAGCCCCTGACCTTATTGTATCAAACATGATTCGAACCCGTGATCTGTTTATCAACAATTCTATGTGTGTCACACAGCCATCAATCAACACCTTTCGATCTTATTTACCAATTACAATAGGTTTTTGCTGTCTTGTGATGTCTGTTTGCTCAAATGTCTGTGCACCGGGGTTGATATTCCACTCACACAGATTGCGATATACTCTGTCTATACAATAATAACTATGAGCTTGTCGACATTCGAACTTTCGAAATTTCTTATAGTTGGCTTTTTGAGTCTTTTTCTAAGTTTTTCAAAGTTTTTTTAACTTTTTCCCCCTTTCAACTTACCGCTCAATGTTGTGTTTGATTCTCTTCCTTTCACTAACTTCTGGATGTCATGTGGCATTTTCATTTGGCTTGTGTGTTCCTTGTCCGCCCTCTGGCTCGGCACATATTCGTCGGAATTTGCTGTCCATATCATCCTTGTCCGTTCTGACACGTCAAACTGCGGGGATTCCAGTCCTGAAGGTGAGAAAAAAAAGCATTTACTCCCCTGTTGTCATGGTTTCTTCGCTGATTGGTATCATCCTTATCCGTTCTGTTGATTGGTACAGTCGTTAAGAGCACTCGTTCTCCTTGTAGACGGCGTGGCTCAAAGCACGGTGTTCCCTTGTGGAAAAGCAGGAAGGAGTCTGCCATTGTATGCCGGATCAAAAGCGGGGTTCAAGAAAATCACTTGTCTCTCATCTTATCCGCGTTGGTTATGGTTGCAGTGTCCATTCTTCAACAAATTCAAGCTCATCTTGGAGAGCAATCATATTTCAGACCGGGGGGAAACCGACAATGTAAGTATGCGCAAATTATTCCGCCGAGAACTTGTGTGTTGCACACTGCTGCTAGTTGACCTTTGAAATTCGACGCACTATACTGGTAGCTTATTCCCCCGAATACAATGCACGGTAACGATAGCTGTATTTGGGGTATCTTTCAGTCTACATACAGCTATAATGACCATACGTTGCATTCGGGGGAAGAAGGTGGTACAGCGCAGACAATAATAATCTTTTTAAAATGTTGCAGATAATCAATTCTGGAGCACATACAATGTTGGTTTTCCTTTTTCTTTTCCTTTCTTTTTTTTTTTTTTTTTTTTTTTTTTTTTTTTTTTTTTTTGTCTTTACAACACACACAGGCCCCCTTCTATTCTGGGGGGCAACTGTCCGGTTACTTATCCCCGGCAACGACGGCAAGCATGTTTGTACAGAGACAATGGGAGAAAAGAAGAGAAAGAGGATCAGCCTAACCCTTGTGGCACTAGCCGCTTAAGCAAGGGGGCTATAATGTTAGTTTTTTCAACTGGTGCAAGATCAAATCAGTGGCTTTGCGTTTAGCTGAGTCAGCACAGATACCTGTGCTGGACTCAAAATTTAAACTTGCCAAATGTTGTACTAATCTTTGCTTTTCATAAGGAGTTGAACTCATGATCTGTGCACTGACAGTCACTTGTGTGTTGCGTTCTTCAGCCACATGTGCTTGGCAAATTTGCCGGACACTGCAGGCAGGGAAGAAAGTCCAAGAAACACAGACTTTGTTGTAGTCCGTTTGCTATAAGCGAATGTGTGAGGAGAACAAATTCCCCGGGCAAGTTAGAGAAAAAGAAAGACGAAAGTACAAAAATAACCACACCACAAAGGACTGCCTTGCCCTTTTGTTTTTTGCCGTGTCAGCAGTTAAAGCAGGGACGACAAGTCCCTTGGGACAGGTTAAAATTGGAAGTTGGAACGATACAGAGAGATTAGCATGGGGAATTGGAGGGACCAAGATAAAAGGAACGGACGGGGAGGGAAAATGGTGGGGGGGGGTACAAATTTGGAGATAGGTGTGACCCCTCCTGTCTCCTCTTTTTCCCATCTTGTTTCCTTCTGATTTCTGGGACAAGTTTGAGTTTTCCTCAGAAAGCATGTTGTGGGGGGGTGGGGGGCGGAGGGTGGGGGGAGAGGGGGGCAAAGATAACAGTGAGATGCCAGTTTGGAGATAGGTGTGACCGCTCCTGTCTGCTCTTTTTCCCATCTTGTTTCCTTCTGATTTCTGCGACAAGTTTGAGTTTTCCTCAAAAAGCATGTTGTGACCAAGCTAGGAGGAGTGGTCTATCAGTCTGTCTGTTTCTTTTTTCTTGTTCCCTCCGTTCTCCATGCTAATCTTCTCTCCATATCCCCAGAGGTTGGACAGTGGATGTTAGAGTCGATACGAAACAGGGAACATCCCTGAGGACCATGAACGGCAGGCTGTGTGGAATAGCACCTGCACACCGCAACTGCAGCACAAGCACCAGGGGGCTGAACTGTGTCTGTGACAGGAAACTGAGCAGGCCATGTGACCCTTTGTTCTTGTGCTGAGCTCATTCGCGAGTGTAGCATGGGCTCCAGGAGAACAGTGCTGGATTGCTGTAGTGGAGCAGTACTCTGTTTAATCCTTGCTGGACTTGTCTCGATTCGCAATTGCTTCTGTGCTCTCCGGTGGCATATACTTGTCCCAATATAACAAGTACTGTATGCTTTTCTCTTGCGAGTGTGCATCTCTCATGCGTAGCGCCTGTTGATGAGATCAACTCACTCAACTCTGTATTCCAACCGTGATCTGTAACAGGCCCTCAACCTGGATCCAAAGACCATCAAGAAACGCCAGGTGGAGTGTCTCGATATCGCTATAGATCCAGTCGAGAAGTATGTGGAAGACGAGGATCCTACAAAGTTCAAGTCGAAGAAGACGGGCCGTGGGCCGCTTACGGAGGGATGGCAGGTAAGAAGACGAGTGCTCTGCAAAGAATATGAGCGAGAACGATAGACAGAAATCCAAATTGCAATATCACGAAGTAGCCCAGATAGTCATGTATGAAGCAGACAGCTCAATGCACCAAGATACCATCCAAATAAGAGCAAGACAATGAACTCGTATGTCAATGTCGACGCTCTCTGGCCACACCAACACAGTATCCAATGTCGCTTCTACTGATTGGCACACAGCGCCCAGCCTACGCTACTCAGCCTATCTACGCCTATGTATGTTCATGCAACCAGATCACATCGAAGTTGAAGGCCAATGTACGTGACGTCATCACCAATGCAGACCGCCAGCATAGACCAGGTACGTTATCTCTCCTCCTGTCGTCACACCTCGTCTCCCCTCTGCATGCGCCTCCTACCCGAAGACCACCATCTCCATCACCTGCTACCGCATGCCCGGCCGGGCTATGGCCGATGTGTGCCCTTCTGCCACCGCAGCGCCCTCTCACCTCTTAGCGCCCGCGTGCGCCCCAGCCTGCCTGCTTAGCGCAGCTTCGAACAGCAAAGCACCAGCGTGGCCCCAATGCCTGATCAGGCCAGAATCCCGTGCCCCTGGGCTCACACTTACCTATATGGAAAGTTTGCCTGGCTGCCCTGGGCCTGGCGTGTAGGGGCCCAGTAGCTTCAAGTTGGCCCAAAGTGTCTGTGCCCAGGCCCAGTTTCAGATACTCGGGCCTCGTGCAGTTAGGCACGTCCAGGTAGCCCTCCAGGATCCAAGTGTTTGCCGCATTCTTATTGGCTTGTGGTGGATGTGTGACGACAATGCTGCATTCTGATTGGTCCACGGCCACTGCGTGATTTGTCGGCCTCCCACTGTGTGTGCCCAGGGCGCAACCACCTGAGCCCTGGGCTCAACTGTACAGCGCAGCTGTTGCTTTTGGAAGGAGCCACAGAAGGCTCACGTTGCTCTGTAACCAACTGGCGTGCTGCAACTGTCTGACACCCCACATACGAAAAATGTTGAAGATACGCCGCATACAAAAAATGTTGAAGATACGCCTCTCGTGGATGTACAAGCCCGCCTTCACTTAGGGGGGGCACGAGGCTTGCTGGGGGCCACAGCCCAGAACATTTGCATGCCCGAGAAGGGCCTCACGAGGACTCATTCCTCGCAGCTCCTTTCAGATACATCCCAGTGATGCCCCCTCGAATAGAAGGGGCTTTGTGTTTTTTGGGAAAAAAAAAAAAAAAAAGGAATCACATCTTTTGATGGGTTGACGAGCTCTTTTTTTTCCCCTTTTCTTTTGTTCTCTGAAAAAAACAAAGGACGATGGCCTTGAGATATCATCATTGGACTGGCTGTGCCACGTGATTCAGAGTTATTTTATTGTGTTCATCTGATTGCATTTGGATTCGAACTTGGGTCTGTACTTCAACAGCTCAGTGGCGTACGAACTGAGCGAGGCCCTTTGGCGGTAGATGAGTTCTATCATTCTGACATCCTGCCTTGTTGCAGAACTGCCCTTCGAATTGACCGGTTCGAATTTGACTGTTCTTGAGCTGACCATCTTGACCATTCCTCACCTGTGCTACTGACAAATGTGACCTGTTACCCCTTAAACTGCGGGTACCTTTCCCAGCCGTCGTTTTCCAACTCATTTGTAAACAACCGGGATTTTCAGGCGCTTGGCCTGCTCGACCTCTTTGGCTGGCGGCGCAAGCCAATAGTAAAAAAAAAAAAAAAAAAAACGTGTGCTGTGCCGGTGGGTTTTTTATTTGACACGCAGCACCAGTCCGGGTCGGGAAAACGAGGCTCGGATGCTGTTCAGATGACCAATGTTGTCATTTCCCCCTTAGTGCTGTTGTGTTGTCCAACTTGACCGTTTTGCCGCTATTCTCTTCCCCCGAACACAACACACCCTCTTTTTTCTTGCACTGAACCGGAAACATAGCTTGTAAATGAGGGCGTGTTGTGTTCGGGGAAGAAATGAGGGTGTGTTGTGTTCAGGGGAAGACGGTAGTGCTGTTGAGTTGAGCAGCGTGAGCTGTGTAAGTTGACCGACGTGATCTGTGTAAGTTTACCGGCCGGGCAATGGATCAGTTGTAATTTGTGTAAAATGTGCTGTGTAGGAACAGCAGTAATGCATTACCCTGTTTCCATCAACGGAGTCTTTAGGGGGAACTTGGTGGACCAGGACTCTTTTTGTCTGTGCTTCATTTGGCTGATTTGCAGTCGCATGCGTAACGATATCCTCTATGTATTTGGCAACCATCGCACTCGGCAAGCACTTCTGGTCATGTGTTCTGTGCTGTCTTGATTATCTTTTCTTGTTTTTTTTAATAAGTCCGCCGCTCCTTTTGGCTTGATTGCGGCCAGATGCATCCAGGGAAGTCTTGCTGTGATATCCTCTGTATTTTGCAACCATCTCGCTCCACCAGCGCTTTCTGGGTGTGTGTTCCATCCATGATGTCATGATTTTTCTCTTTTTCATAATCGTTCCATGCTGTCCTGAGTTTGCAAAGAGTTTGTAATTTATGCGAGGATTTTACGCCTCGGCATACCGGCATGAGGCCCTGCAGCAGGCGCGTGCCTGCCCTAAGTGAAGGTGGGCCCCCTGAATCTCAATGAGCCCTGAATTCGTCAATATTTGCAAATCTTGGTGGGTGCCAGAGTTGCCACGCGCCAGCTGGTTACATCCGACTTGCTTGTGAGAATCTGAAATATTTTTGAGCTTCCAGGCTCCTCCAGCAACATGGTCGAAGCAGGGAACACCGCACGTTTGTGCCTGGGTGGTTGGGCATGCCTAACCAATTCGGTCCCAGGCCACTGTCTGAACGGGCCTGGGCGTAGACACTTTGGCCGAGAGTGAAGCTACTGGAAACACGGTCCCACCAGGCAGGCAGGCAGCAGGTAGCGTGCCCGCCACTTTCCATATGGGAAGGGCCGGGCTACAAGCCAGCCATTTGGGCACTTGGAGGTGCAAGCAGCAGCGCTGTTGGAGCGAGGGCTCAGGTTGCAAGCTTAGCGCTAGCACAAGTGCAGAACGCGCACGGGCGTCGGGTCGAGGGCGCTGCAATAAGGCAGTGCCATAGCTGAGCCCCCATTGCTGGGCTCAAGTTTGGATGGTCAGCGGAGGTGGTGGTGGCCTTCGTGTACGAGGAAGAAGACGTGGGTGAAGAAGACGAGAGAGAGAGAGAGAGAGAGAGAGAGAGAGAGAGAGAGAGAGAGA